AATGGTACAGGGTCTTGGTGTCTGTCTGTCTGTCTGTCTGTCTGTCTGTCTGTCTGTCTGTCTGTCTGTCTGTCTGTCTGTCTGTCTGTCTGTCTGTCTGTCTGTCTGTCTGTCTGTCTTGTCTGTCTGTCTTGTCTGTCTGTCTGTCTGCATGTATGTCTGTATGTATGTATGTATGTGTGTATGTACGCATGTATGCATGTATGTATGTATGTATGTATGTATGTACATGAATAGATGTGTGTGTATGTGTGTATGCATGCAGGCATGGATGGATGCATGGATGGGTGGATGGATGGGTGGATGGATGGACGGAAATATACAAAGGTACTTGTTTTTGTATGTCTTTAACAGCTTTAACAGATACGGACGTACATATATACACATACAGGCTGCTTGATCGCCAAGCGCACTTGTAGATCAGCCTCGAACAGAGGCTGAGTGATCCTGTGTGGCGATGCGGGATTGCGTCAAATTCTTTGTATCCAGACTTGTCAGCATGTGAGGAGCGGCCGGCATCGTCTGTGCCGTGTGCTGACGAGCAAGTTTTTGACCACTCCACCGGTTGCAAAGCAGCGACAGCGCGTCCAGAACCTGCACAAACCGCTCTCGATGGTGCCACGCAAGGGCCCAAAGAGGAAGCGAAAGGCGCTCAATGCCTGCGAGATGCACAATCTGTGCATAACACGAGCAGAGCGCTGAAGGCAGTGGCAGATTGGCTGCTCCTCAGCATTGCCCCCTCAGTTACACAGTACGAGTACGGTGCGGTCTTAGTCAAGGAGGCACAGCTTTGGAATGGCTATCCCAGACCCTACACTACTCGTTCTGCACAATGGTGCAACAAAACAGTGCTCGCTGGTCGGATTTGACACACTTGGGGTGCATGCGCATGCTTATGCAAGCCTGCCGTGCTTCAGTTGAGGCAAGCAGCAGCCTATGGAGATGGTCGGGTGGTGTCTGGGCCTCAACGGCTCCTTCCAATAATTGAGTCTGATGCTTTGGGTTTTGAGGCTTTGGGACCCGACGCAGCGCGCGGAAACGGCACAGCCAGCCCGTGCCGGCCTGTTTCGAGCTCTTTCCGCCCCACAGGCGTCCCCCAGATTCTTCGACTCTGCCAGGTCTCTGAGAGCCAGCCCGGCCAGCCCCCCGACGCGAAGTTTGCCAAGACCTTGGTTTTTTCGGTGGTTGTTCAGCGCAGCAATCACTACTGGGCAGAGTCGGGAAAGGCCCCACTAAGGCGGTTTCTTGAAAGATTGGAGCCCCCGAAGACGTCTGAAGGCAAGTCAAGTTGGATTAGAGACTTAGGCAGGTTTCGTGAGCCCCACAGCTCCATGAAAGTTCCATGTGTGCCCCAACAGGTTCATGGAGCACATTCTGGACAAGACGTCTGCGGTCCGAAGCTCAGTAGATGAGCCGCAGTAGTATCCGGGCCCGTCCGGCATCAGGCATGTTGAAAAGCTTAATATGGGAGTTTCCAAAATTAGGGTACCTTATTTTGGGGTCCTTATAATAAGGATCCTATTATTTAGGGTACTATATATTAGGGTCCCCTATTTTCGGAAACCCCCATATGGGCACAGGCCGCTCGAAAGTGCTTTTGAAGGTGTCGCTTGGAGTCGAGACTGTCCATGGCTGCTCGCCTCTGCCGTGAGGGAGGCGGCCAGACATCACTTACTGTGTACTGTACTAGATTGACAGACACAGCATTTGCAAGCAAGTGCTGTCACCTGATCATCAGTTTCGTCAGCAATGCCATGACCATCAGCACCTGTTCGAATGCCGTCAACTTCTAGTGCATCAATCATCATCATCATCGTCATCGCTATCACCATCACCATCGCCATCGGCATCACTGTCCCTGTCACCATCACCATGACCATATCACCACCATCATCATCATGATCATCGCCTGATCATCTTCATCATCAGTTGCAATTTCATCATGAGTTGCATTTGCATCATGTTAGGGATGGCTTCGTATTCGTCCCTTGAGTGTCTCTTGTGGCTGCACGTCTCGGAGGATCTCCAGTTTTGGCGCCCGTCTGCAGCGCTTTTTGCTGCGCCCCAGGCGAACCACGGTTGATCTGTTTGCAGTCCAGCGACGACTTTGTTGATGGTGTGTGTCTGTCTGTTTTTCTTTCGTGTGTGTGTAATGTTGGTCGTTTCCTTTTTTTGTTTTGTGAAAACCCAAGACCTATTTACACAGGAGTTCCACACGTGAGGCCTTATTCAGTCTCTAAAACCAAGTCTGTTGACAACCCAGCTGGCTCCTGGCTGACGGTGATGATGGTGGCAGTGGAGATGATGATGGTGATGATGGTGATGATGGTGATGATGATGATGATGATGCTGATGATGATGATGGTGATGATGGTGAGGACGACACCCGCCACTGCTCTTCGTCGTCGTCTCTAGTGAGTTCTGATGTCAAATTCAATTGTCTGTGCTGCTGCAGCTGCATCTTGGCGAAGTTCCGAGTCGTTTGCAGTATTGGCAGCTTGGATGAACGCTTCTCTTGTAAGATACATAAGCAAACCATGCGACCATACTAAGGACGAGTTTTTCTGCATGCCCACTTTGCCCTGTTGAGGCACTGGGGGCCTGAGGTGAGCCTCGGTGTCCTTCGAAAAATGAGCCACTGAATTCGATTTTCTCAGTCGGAGCACGGCTCAGGTAGCAGACGGCTGCATGCAAAATGCATGTACGTGCTTGCTTGGGTACCTCTCTCTCGGCTGCCTTCTCCGACACTTCTTGTTATTTGTACTTGTAGTTGTGGGGTTTCCCCCTAATATAGTACCCTAAATAGTAGGATCCTTATTATAAGGACCCCCAAATAAGACACCCCTTATTTTCGGAAACTCCCTTGTATAGAACTTATCAATCCAGCGGCTGCCTTTGTGAGCAAAGATGGCCCAGGATCCTCTCCCGGGGCTGCGGTGAAGACTGCTTAAAAAAAGGGGATGCTGCAGTGTCTGTCCCTTGCTTATTGCATGCTCTGGCTTTGGATGGTGTTGGCGTGGAACCTGCGATGTCTTCGGGCTCTTGAATGTGGCTACGAGTCAGAGTAAGAAGCAAGGATCACTATGTTGGAGATAGGTGCACGACAATGCGTAGGTGAATGTACTTCGTTGAAACCAAGTGAAAAATCATCGCCTTCGTATTGCACTGAGCCATGCCGGCTGTGAAGCTGGAGCGAGTTGGGCGAGTTGCCAGAATTCTGTTGAACATGCCGGAGAAGATGAATGCCATGACATCAGAGGTTGTGGACGACTTTGGCAAGGTTCTGGACAAGATCAGGACAGACTCTTCTGAGTATGGTGCTGTTGTAATCACCGGCGCCGGCAAGTCGTTCTCCGCCGGTGGTGACCTTGCATGGTTGAAGCTACGTGGCAAAGACACGCCCTCCAGAAATTCGCAGATCATGCATGACTTCTACCACCGATTTCTAGCCATTCGATCCCTGCCTTTGCCGGTCGTGGCTGCGATCAATGGGCCCGCTGTTGGGGCTGGAATGTGCCTGGCGATGGCATGTGACATCCGCGTCGCCTCGCAAAGTGCAAAGATGGGCTTTCCTTTTGTCTCCCTTGGACTCCATCCAGGAATGGGTGCGACTCATATGATTCAAAGCGTCGCCGGCTTCGAAACTGCTTACAGGCTGCTGCTCACAGGAGACTTGGTGAATGGGCTGGAAGCCAAAGAGCTTCGCCTGGTGTCGCAAGTGGCGCCTGATGGGCCGACAGCCCAAGCACAAGCCATGGAGCTCGCCGGGCGCATTGCCCTCCAAGCTCCTGTGGCGGTCAGGTCCCTGGTCCGCTCTCTCCGCCGCAAGCAAGAGGCCAGGGCCTTGGCCATCCTGGGTTCGTAGGTAGCAGCCGAGTGTCGCCAAAACGAGGAGGGACTCGAGGCCGCCCTCTGGCGCGAGGCGGATGCCCGCGCCTGGGAAACGCTGAGAGAACTTTCAGAAGTTTTCTATCCATGTTTAGAAGGCTTGGCAAGTGTCACCTGAGGCCCAAGCGCACTGCTATGCAACCCATGACCTCTCCGAGGGTCTTAAGGCCGAGTGAGGCAGCGACGACGGATTCGCGACATGCAGCTGCACGACAGGCGTCCCTCGAGCGCCGCCCACCGCGCTGCAGGCTCAGGAAGACGACGAGAATCGGCCGTTATTGCTAAAGTAGAGGAAGATAGCCCAGAGCCACGTCTGCCGAGGCTTTGAGCTCAACGAGAGCTATGCGGACGTGGATCCACCCCCGAAGCCCAAGAGCAACTTGTGAGACGAGCGCTTGTCTTGCAGACGTCGCGCGGGCCTTGCAGAGCAAGAAAGGCCTTGACCTGCCGGCAGAGTGATCCTGGAGCCTCCAGCCATGCTGCTACCTGTATCATGCAGAGTTGCCCCTCTTCTCGTTATTCTACCAGTAGTTTCCCTGCTGCCCTCGATATCCACAGGAGATGCGCTCAGCCAGCTTCTTGCAGAAGCACAGGCGAAGCAGGCGGCTGCAGCCCTGCAGCCTGCAGTGGTTGTAGGTAAGGATCTCGAGTCTTGCTACATGCTCAGGCGGCCAAAGATGATGCCGCTGCCAGGAAGCGAGAACGAAGGCTGTCTGGGCTGTGTCCTGTTTCATTCTTCTGCACACGCCAGTGCCACGCTGCTGATCGCAGGAAGCGGAATCGTCAAAAGGCCGTCTGCAGATGGGAGGAGACCTTGGATGCCGGCTTGCTCGTTTCTCACTGCTGGCAGGCGGAAACCGCTGAGACCCATGCGGTTGCACAAAGTGGCTCCGCCACACTTGCAAAGGCGACCAAAACAAGCAGTCAAGCAGGAGGCCACGATGAACGCCGCAAGTCAGGGCAGTGTCTCTGATCGTGTATGGTCTCTTTCAGTGCAGAGATTTCGAACCGCTAGTTGAACGTGAATCGCTCTTTTGACGAAGCGTCATCCGAACTGCCACTATCTGCCATTCTTCTCGAACACTCGGCTCCTGCTGTGGGGCGCTCGCTGTTCCATGTGCAGACCGGACCCCAGCTCAACTCTGTGAGTACTCCCTGCGGCCCCTTAAACAAACATCATGTGCGAGGCTTGGACAAAGAGCGCCGGCGGAAGCCGCAAGGCGGAAGCCGCAATGCCTTCATTGAGTCTCCCTTCATTTAGCTTCTATAGAGAGCTTGTCGTGGCTTTCAGTTCGACACGGCTCATCTTGTCTTGCACGAGCGTTGCTGCAAAGGCTTTGGTGCATGAAGTTTCAGTTGGATCCTTGTGTTTCGGAAAATGCTAGTCACTTGAATCTGTGTCTGCAGCCTCTTCCTTTCTCTGTCTAGTTGAAATAAAGATTGCATTTCCAGCGAAGAGTTTTGGGAATCAGGATGTCTAGATCCTGAAGCCCCATTCCATAAAGCCTATCTCTTGGCTTACAGTCCTTAGTATGTTGGTGAGGCTGCGATGCCGCCCAAGGCCTGCAGCTGAGCATTACGCCATGAGACTCATCAGAACATGGGCAGTGCGGTGTAGCCGTGGTAGAGTTTTGGGGTCGTTCGAAGCTCAGGCGCCGAATGTTGGTAGCCTGCGGACTGAGAAAGGGCTTGCGGAGCTCAATGAGCTGCTTTCATCCAGGTGCACAAAGGGCCACGGGGAGTGCCCTGATGTTGATCGGACAACTGCTCTGCAGGTCCTATGTTGGCAGCACGATATTTGCTACAGCAGAGGACGTTGCCAGGGCAATCTTCACACTGCTGTGCACGCCGAGCTTTCGATGGCTTGCTCTGTGAGCTTCGATTGACGGATTCGCTTGCTGTATCCGGCCTCAACTGGAGGACATGACGTTTTTTGCCCAAGTTCCTTCTCGGCCAGATCGACAGAAGGCTCGCTCCTTCTATAAAAAGGAAAGCTTTCCTGCCTCGATTCTGTCAGTACCCCCACCTGCTGAGATGGCTCGGGTCCTGGAGTCCAGTGGGTAGCTGTTTTGGGGCTACTGCATGGCGTATCAAGGCCAAGATGACCGCCCCAAGCCAAGGTACAACCATATCGCGGGATTGCGAGCCCGTCATGCTCCATACCACGTTTGGCCAGGGCAGACGAAGACCTCGCAGGTTGGGTCACTTTGATGGTGATGCGAGCAGAGTGTCATGACGTTGTGTTGGCGTCCGAAGGACAGCGAACCAGCAGGGCAAGAGACAAAGAAGGCCCGGACAAAGAATGCACATGCATGTCAAAGTATGTAAATGTAAACAGATATGTACATGAAGGTAGATGATGTAGATGACGGTAGATGATGAAATCCTTCGGTGGTATGCTGCAAACCACCTGTCCTTTCGACCTACGAATGTCCCTATCACAAGAACATGGAATGGAAAGGTTCTCATGTGTATGTATTGGGCGTGCAACAAGATCTAATAAGATATCCATGACACGTGCGGTGCGACATGTCCATGGTCTGGTCGTTTCTGGTTGCTGTCTTCTTGTGGCTGTTGAAATCTTGTGAGTCAGGGGCCTCGCGCACCCGGCAAAGAGAAGCAGGTTCTGCCCTTCGACTGTAAGGCGCCACTGGAAATGGGGTTGTGGAGAGTTGTCGAGATTCGGGGATGATTTTGATGCGACAGGTCGAGCCTGTCGAGGATCGGCGCCAGGTCCAGGGAGACGATTCTGTGAAACGAGGGGCAGGCTCGGTTCGGGTTCGTTTTGGTTGTGCGGTGAGGCAGAGATTGGATGGATTTGATGTACACCACCTGGCAGGGGGCAACTGCTTTCCCTCCGCTGAAAAGGGTCCCCACGGGCGGTGCCCGTTTTTGCAGAATTCGAAGATTCCAAGCTGGTCTTCATCCGTTTGAAAGCTGTTTCCGTTGCAATTCGATGGGGTCGCGTGCACTCTTTTGATGCACCTCGACACAGCCACTCGTCAGGTACTACGTCACGACCGCCATTAACTATTGCAACGGCTGGCCACACATAGGCCCATTGTCGAGTTCGTCTTACACGTATTGGCATTTGTCTATGTCTCTTTATTACAATGTCTGTGTGTGCTTACTTGCAACTGAAGCTCACATCAAGGGACCTGCAGACGGATAGCACGAGTTGCGTGAAGCGTCCGAGGTCATGCCTATGAGGCACTCACCTCAGACGTTTTTGCAAGGCCCAGCGGAGCGGAGTAGCATGCACAGAGTTGTGGAGCTCCTACGTCCAAGCACACAGGTACCATCGACTGCTCGGGCAGGATGTGTTCTTCATGACAGGTGCTGATGAGCATGGGCTCTTTGCTCAGCTGTGGATCCCATACTTCACCTTCGCAGAGAGTTTGGCCTGGAGTGAGAGGCAGAAGATTGCGCAAGCTGCAGAGAATGAGGGCCTCCAGCCCCAAGAGATCTGCGACCGCTACTGCGCCCGCCCCGGTTGTGTGTAGCCGTCAGACTGTCGTGCCTCGACATCGAAAGGCCTTGGATTCAGGGCGCTAAACCAGCGCTTAAATGCCGCGGGCTCAGTCTGAACAGCAGCCACTATGTTTTTTGTGCTGGAGAAGATTGGAGAAGTGTGGTCGGCAGAGCTGAAAGACAGGTGTCAAATGATTTCTACGTTCGCACGACTGCCGACCGCCACAAAGTTAGGGCCCGAGTTCACTGCACTCGAAACGGCGAATTCTTGCCGAGTTGGCGTTCTTCTCGTGGTGAAGGTAGCTGTGTACACACTGTGAGCTGCCGTGATCGTGATATAGCACTTCCACAATCAAGATGCTATCTTTGGGGCTGTTTCTACCTGTGAACTGCCGAGGTTGTTGCAAGGTCAGTCTGGGACATTTGCAAGAAGAAGGGGGACATCTACCTCGACCGCTACGAGGGTTGGTGAGCGCAGCCCGGGCAGAACGGGCTCGGGTTGAGGATACAGCTGCCCTCGAGAACAGGTACATGGTCCGGGAGGAGCGGTTCATCACGGACCAGGAGGCGCAGGAGTTCAATTTCAAGGCCGGAAAGGGATCGCAGACAGGAGGGGGTGGTCGGATTCCCTGAGTTGAGGGCTTTTTTCTAGGCTGAGGGCTTCAGCGAGCTGCGAAGGAGTTCTGCGTGGGTTGGGTTTCGAGATGCTTCAGAGCTTGCTCATGCTCAGACTAAACTTCATGGTATACTGCGCCTGTTGTCGTCGGCGTTCAGGACCCCACCTCCGGAGCACCCTTGAAGAAGATGCCATGCACCCAGATGGTCGACAGTCTCTGTCCTTGTTCGCATGAGGCTTGTCTTGTCCCTGCATCTTGTGCTTATCATGCGGGCTTTGCTGAGCGAAGCGATGCACTGTGAGTGCATGTGAGTGCATGCAACGAGTCGTCGTAGCATGTGCTTGGCTTAGCTATGAGGACAAATGCCTTTGGAGCATCATTCGTTAGTCGACACGATGGGCAGATCCAGGCTGATCTGACAGCGCCCTTGCCGCCATCACTGTGCTAGGTCTGAGCCCAGCTTCTTCTTCCGCCTCTCGAAGTACCAAGAGAAGGTGGTCAAGCTGATCGAGGAGCCACTCGTGCAGCTGCGCGATGTGTCCTTGTCGTTGAATGCAAAAAGGCGTGAGCATCGCCGCTTTGCTCTTGGCAGGAGCAGCCGGAGTTCATTCAACCAGCTCAGCCTGGCCCCGAACGCGGAAAACCGCAGAACGTAGCAAACGCAAAAGCGACGCAAGCGCACACCTCGCGGACCGCCGCAGAGGTACAGAGGAGAGATCCTGGAGCGGCTGAAATCCATCGAGGTCGGAGCCCGTCGCCTTTGGCTTCCGTCCTTCGACGCTCGCGAGCCCCCGCTGCCCTGATCGCAGCTGTTTGGAATAATACAGGAGATGACGGTCAAGTCTCCGGAACTCGGAAGTCAGATGGAAGTTCAGCTAACGGCTAAAGTCGGCTAAAGTTCCAAATCAGGGCTGAATTACCGTGCTGTCGCTCGTGCTGACGCAATGCCCGCTGCACAGATCCTCATCGTGGGAGCCGGCGTGACAGGCTCCATGCTGGCCTTGCTCGCCAAGGACATGGGCCTCTCCGTGCGCGTGCTGGAGAAATCGCGTGGTGCTGGCGGCCGGATGGCGACCTACGGCTACCGCCATGGTGATCGGTCCTCCCCATTGCTTGCACAAGCAGATCTTGGGGCACAGTACATTACGACCAGAAGCTCGCCAGACCATCCAGTTCTGGGTCCGCTCTACAAGCGCCTTCTCGATGCCGGTGTCCTGAAGCCTTTTACCGCTGAGATTGCAGGTCCAAATCCGTATGGAGCTGCAAGTTCAGATGTGCGACACTTTACAGCTCCGAACGGATTGAAATCCGTCTCGCAGTATCTTCTGGAGTCATCAGGTGTGCCCGTAGATTGGGGAGTAGCGGTGGACGACTTGACCTTGTCTGAGGCCGGGGACGTCTCCGTGTCAGTCAAGGAGGGGTCGCTGCCTGCAGACGCTGCGACAGCCAGCGTCGTGGTGTTGACACAGCCCCCGCCACAAGTCTTGGGGGCCAGCAAGTTTGGAATGCGTGGCAGCTTTCTGCAGCACACACCAGAGACGGTCTCGACAAGCCTCAAGAAGGTGGAGTACTCCTCGCGCTTTGCCGTGGCATACTTCTTTGACAAATCTAAAGTTACTTGGCCTTTCACCTGGACTTGCCAGTACTTTGACAAAGGCGACGTCCGCTATGTGGCGCATGATTCAGCAAAACGACACTCCACACACGAGACAATGATCTCGGTGCTGGTACACAGCGGGGTTCCTCTGGGCATCGAACTTCAGGATGAGGAGGACGGCGCCGTCTCTGAATCTGTTCGTTGTGAATTGCATAGTCTTTGTCTCTGTCGACACTGATTATTCTTGCACCGCAGGACCCCTTCCCAACGGCCGCTGCACGGCTGCAGCGCGACCTCGAGGAGCGGGCCGCGGGAAATCTACCCGACAAAACGTTCTTTGCTCGTTTTCCCCTTCGCAGTCGCAGCTTTCGCAGCTTCTGTCCCAGGCGAAGCTGCCTGAGCTGCCTTGGGCTGGAGCAGAGGCCTCTCTCAGGCTAGACCGAATGAATTGATGTCTCCGATTCGCCCTGTGAGGGATCGAAGGTCCACAAGTGGAAGTACAGCCAGGTCTACAAAGGCCTGGAGTGATGAGAGGTTTTTCTTCGTGGCAGAATGCCGATGACCCTGATGACGATGATGGCGGTGGCTGAAAGGAACCACAGAAGCTTCAAAGTCGACAATTTTTTTGCAGTACCGGTCGCAGGCTTTGGTGGTGCAAGGCTTGCACCTGACTGGGCCTGGAACGTGGAGGAAGCCAAGGAGGTCGCGCTTCAATTCCGGCTTGAAGATACGGGGGTGTGTCTTCAGCCAGGATTCAAGAGCTCACGATCATGTCATCATGTCCATGTTCATCGGAAAGCGAGTACTGCTGTCACGAAGTGCGGTCGCTGCAGGCAGCCCCTGGCTGCGTCCCCCTCTTCCGGACAGACAAGTCCCTCGGCCTTCTTTGCGGCTTGGACGAAAGATCAAGAGCTTGGGAGAACGGCGGCTGTTGCTGTTCCGAAGTTGTGCATGTGGAAGCAGGCAGCCTTACTGATCTGAGGCGGAGATGCCATGGCTCCTGCGGGCAATTTCGAGGGACTCGCAGCCTTCAATTACATGTCTGGTGCCGGTTCCAGGCCTGTAAAAACACCGTGCAGCTTGAGCCTAGGATGCGTTTACAGCGCACACAAAGCCGCAGAAGCCTTGCGCGAGCACTTCTGCAAGAGCGTGCCTTATCCTGCAATCAGCTGTGCAAGTAGACGTCCAGTGACTTCCACCCTTCCAGGACTTGACCTGAGACCCAGAGTCTGATGCAATGGCACACTGCTAATAGTAGCTCCCCTTGGCCGTTTTCCAAACAACGGCAATCTTTTGCGGCGAGTTGTGAAGATTAGTCTGATGCACTAAGGATCCATGAACATAGCGGCTTGCGACAGCAAAGAGTGCTTCGCGACTGTACATGAATTGTTCGGTGTCCCTGACTTAGATGGCTGCAAAAGGCGGTCGTCCAGGGATGCTCGCTTGATAGGTTTTCGGTTTTCAGGTCCCAAAATTTTCAGCGATGCGAATCAGCTGTGACAAAACTGCTCCGGGCTTTCAGAGCCTCGGCCTCACGTCTCACACGTCAGCATCTGATCCTACTGCTGCATGGAGCCTTTCGCCAGCTCCGCGACCTCTCCATCAGCCGCGGAACCTTCGACTGGGGTGCTGCGCCCTGAGCCTTCATGGCATGAGTTTTGGACCCCTTGCCACTGTATGTCGCGGCTCTCCTCGGGCAGTTTGCTTGCAGTCCTGCTGCGAAAACAGTTGAGATGACTGCAGTCTGAGATAGTATGAGCCTTTATGTCACCGCGGCCAATATTTGTTCGCATTTTTTGTGTATCGTAAGGATGACAACCTGTAGTACTCTGCGTGTTGGGAACGTCGGCTGAGGTCAACTGTCCAGAAGACTTGGTTGACGGCAAGAGACACGTGTCAATCTCAACTCCATTTTTGGGAAGCCGAGAGCTACGATAATACCACAGAGATCAATCCTGCTAGCGTCTTACAGGTTATGTATGTGTGGTTCGATGCCCTCATCAACTACCTCAGCGGCATCGCACGCGCCACAGCTTCTGCGAAGCACGACTCAGCCACCGGCCTTTCCTCTCCTGGGAGGACTGGATCGATCCCAAGAAACCGCTGAGCAGATTCTGGCCTGCTAACATGCACATCGTCGGCAAGGCTGACTTGACACGGAGCTTGGACCTTTCTCCCAGATCACTTAGCGCAGGATATCCATTGGTTCCACACGGTTATCTGGCCTGCGATGCTGATGAGCGCAGGCTGGGGATCCACTTTTGTCCGTTTCTGCAAGCTACGAGCCGATCCTTCGAGGAACTCCACTGCCTAAAAGCGTGGTTGTGCATGGTTTCATTGCTGGCGCTGATGGCCGCAAGATGCTGGTTCCCAAGTATGAGGAGTTGAAGACACAGGCCATGCGTGATGCCGTTGTCCAACATGTGGTCGAGGTCCAAAAGTCTGGGGAACGTCGTGGACCCGCATGACATGTTGGGATCTGAGCTCCAGTGGGTTGCCAGTGAAGGATCTCCAATGTAAACCTTTCTGCTTGCTGGTGCGTTGTCGCCAGAGAGGCTGGACAAGTTTCCCTGTGACACCCTGCGATGGTACTTCTGCCGTGAGGCACGGGCGTGACCTTTGTGCTCTCTTGATCTCCGAGTGGCGTGAGCATCGTGTTTCCGGATGCCCAGGCGGCCTTCGGCGACGATGTCAGGTTCAGTGAGGCTTGAAGGGATGCCAGGATGGATAGGGTCGCCTGTTTTAACGTTCAAGGACTCCCTACGCCTGATGCACAACGCCGAACTCTGTGGCCACCTAAGACCCATCTGCCTCGTTTCTCTGTCTCTGTTTCTCACCCTCCCCCACTCCCTCCCCCACTCCCCTCCCCCCTGCCCTGACTCCACGTCCGTCTTCCCTCGTCATCCTGTACATGCTGAGGCGACAACCTGGGAAATTTGGTGAATCGTGCGGTGAACCTCAGCGGCGGCTCCGCGATCCCGGCATGTCGGGGTTCTGGCGTTTGTGGGCTCCATCAGACAGAACCTGTCACAGCCTCGCTTCGAAGGTGCCCCGCTGTGACGTCGAGGTGTCCCTCCCTTTCGACCTCAAAGAGCTGAAAGCCTCGGTCTCCGAGGCAGCGGCACTCGAGCTCAGCTCCCCTTCAGGGCTCAGCCCGCAGCCCGCCCAGGCCTTCGAAGCCTACCGGCTTTCGGACGCGGCCGACCTCACGGTCCGGGCGGCAGCGGCGACGAACAAGGCCCCACCGTAGAAACTCCGCCTTCTCCGGGCGAGTTCGTCGGAGATCCGCTTCGTGTCGCCAGTGGATCGCGGACCTCGAGCCCTGGAAGATGAAGGCCCACACCTCGGCTGGGACCGGGGTTCAGAGCAGCGCAGCAGGGAGCTTTGCCCATGGCCAGGCAGAGGATCAGCAGGCACGAAGGAGTGCATGCCTCCGCAAGCTGCTGGAGGCGGGAGCAGTGGCAGTGTCGGTCCTACATTCATAGCTCGACCTGGCGAAAGAAAGCACAGCACAGAAGATCACAGCAGCAATGTACGCAGCACATCCCTGGCCAGGCGGTCTACGTTTTGGCCCACTTCTTTGCGCCCTTCATCCCTGTGGCTGCAGAGGTGCCACTGTGCTGAGACAGCCCCTCTGAGAATTCATGACGGAAGCTCGTCCGGCTCCTTTAAGCACGGCTCCTGTAGAGGCGATCTTCGCGAAAGTGGGACAGCCGCCAAGGCAGCGGGGGGCGACGAGTGCGTTAGAGGTTTGCCAGAGGCGGCCCGTCGCAGGCCCATCGCCGACTTGCGCGATGACTTTGCCAACCTCGAGGATGGCAAGGAGGCGCCGAAGATGCCAAGATTCGGTACGGCCCCGAAGCCGAAGCTCCTCGCGTCTTCAGGTCAAGGCCACCTCCTTGCTCTTCGAAGTGCTGGAGGTGAAGAAGGCACGAAACCCTTCCGGTCCTCCCTCCCTCCCCTGATGTCTTTCAGAGGTGGACGTGGACGCCGCGACGGAGAAAAAGGCACGCGGCGGGGCGCGCGAAGAAGAAGACACCTTAACTGGCTGAGCACTCGCAGCAGCCAGGCTGCAGCTAAAGCCAAAGCCGACTCGAAAAAGAAGTAAAGAAACGAGGAGCAGTTAGAGGCCAGACTCCTCGCTGGCTGCTCTTTGTACGCCCATGACTCCTGGCAGGTCAGGCAGCCCTGGCGGTGCAGAGTGCTTTAATTTATATATAGTGCCTTTGCACCCATTGGAGAGATTGTACAGCATGCCTGTCCTGACATGCGGAAAAAACTTGAATGCGCTTGCATCTTGCCCCTTCCCGCTGCACTTGTGTCAGTGAGTTTGTGCGCCTGCATATGCATGTATTAGCTGATCTGGCTCCTCCGAAACTCCCTATCTCTATCTATCTCTCCTTCTACTCAACATGCCTCCTGCTCTCCCTCACGTGCCTCTCACCTCCTGACTCACCCGATGTCGGGCTTCTGTGATTTGTGGCTCTCAGGAATCCTTGCAACGTGCTCTCCTGATATCCGCCACATAAGGCATGGCCAAAGATGGGTACGAGAAGCCGGCACCCACCGGCCTTGCTGCAGGACTATGGTGTGAGTACAAAGATTGTTCACAGCCATGCATACATTGACCGAGCAGGCATGCATGAATAAATGATCCTGGGTCCCCCACCCCTCTCCATGCTATCCTTACCCTCGCCCGCAGGGCTGCTGACCTACCTGCACGTAGATCTACCGACCTACCGACCTACCTATACCTATATATATATATATATATACACCCACCGATACCTGCCTGTACCTACTTATGCCTACTTATGCCTACCTATGCCTGCCTATACCTACCTATACCTACCTGCCTGCCTTACCAACCGAAGCTACCTACCTACCTACCGACCGACCGACTGACCGACTGAGCGACCTGCCGACCCACCGACCTACCGACCTACCGACCTGCCTACCTATCTACCTAATGTGCGTAGGTACGTTCGCACGCGCATGCATACACGCAGACCTACATGCCAACCGTCTACGTGCATCTGTACTGACATGCACATACATACATACATACATACATACATACATACATACATACATACGTACATACACTGTTACATATACATAGGTACATACATAAACACATTGCATGCATACAAAGACATTCCTTCATGTATGTAGGGCGATATGTATACATACATACACAGATGCTGTGTGTATGCATATCTTAGCATCTAGGTAGCTGCATGATTGTATGCATGTGCTCACCGACCCTGCTGCAGGCCTGAACAAGGGCTTCATCGTCACCAGAAGGCAGCTGAAGCCAAAACCTTCTTACCGCAAGGGCAAGAAGTGCGGACGTGTGGCCCTCGTTCGCGAAGTGGTCCGCGAGGTTGTGGGCTTTGCGCCCTACGAGCGACGCATGATCGAGCTGCTGAAGATCGGCTCCGCCGCCACCTTCAAGCGTGCGCTGAAGTTGGCCAAGAAGAGGTTGGGCACCCACCGCCGCGGCAAGAAGAAGCGCGATGACATGATGGAGGCCGTGGCGGCCATGCGCCGCAAAGGATGATTGAGTTGTGAAACATTGGAGCAGATTATCCAGACAACGAGAGAAGCACGAAAGGAAACAAATCAGACCTTGCCGATCCGACAAGTTGCGTTTGCTTGCAGTGTGCTTTGCTTGCTGCTCATGCCATGCTGCATAGGTCTGTAGCCAGAAGCAGCCGCCAACATGCCATCGTGTTTCATTCAACACTTCTCGGCTCGAAGGGGTCCTGACGGGGCAGGAAGTGTCTGTAGCTCAGCAGGGGCAAGATGGCAAAGGACGGGTACGAGAAGCCGGCACCGACCGGCCTTGCTGCAGGCCTGAACAAGGGCTTCATCGTCACCAGAAGGCAGCTGAAGCCAAAACCTTCTTACCGCAAGGGCAAGAAGTGCGGACGTGTGGCCCTCGTTCGCGAAGTGGTCCGCGAGGTTGTGGGCTTTGCGCCCTACGAGCGACGCATGATCGAGCTGCTGAAGATCGGCTCCGCCGCCACCTTCAAGCGCGCGCTGAAGTTGGCCAAGAAGAGGTTGGGCACCCACCGCCGCGGCAAGAAGAAGCGCGATGACATGATGGAGGCCGTGGCGGCCATGCGCCGCAAGGGATGAGCAGTAGCTTCGGAGAAGAACTCCTGTCCGCTCAATCAGGCTTGTCAAAAGGCTGGGCATGTTTTCGCTGCATTTGTTTGCTGATGTCAAAGCGTAAGTCCCGTATCCAGAAGCCTCGCATGCTGGGCTCAGGGCAATCGTAGGTGGTCGGTAGAAGGACAAGCATCAGGGTGTATTTCTGAAAGCATGGCGGCATGACTGCGTTTAGGCACTTTGCTGCAATCAACCGTCAGCTCTCGTGGCCCAGTGCTGCCATGGCGACCTCCTATCGCTTCTCCCTGGAGGATGTGCGCTGGCAGCAGCACCTCAGCGACGAGGGCTTCGTGGTCCTCGCCGGGGCGCTTCTGCCTGAAGAGGTCGCGCTGATTCTCAATACTCAAACTCAAACTCTAGAAGACATGACATGGTCTAAGCTAAGCAGCCTATAATCTTTAAAGTTCAATCCGCAGTGTATTGGCTCTTGCGGTGAGGTGGAGGTGGCGAAGGACTTGCTTTGGACAGATCTAGAGGCCGCCTACGGCGTGTCGCGAGAGGGGCTCGAGTCCTGGAAGAAGTGGCCCCTGAGCAAGACAGGTCTGAACGCCACGATCGCCCAGGATCCGGGAGCTTGGTATGTCCGAGCTTGCCCCGGAGTCAAAGATGCCTTCGCCCGGATTTGGGGGAGCTCTGACCTCATTGTGTCCATGGACGCGCTCCTCATTTGGAGGCCCTGGTGGCACCAGGCCGGGGGTGCCGGGCCGAGCCTTTTTGGGCGCAGTTCCCCAAACTTTCGCCCTGAGACCTCAGGCAGCTTGGCGTCCGTGCACGGAGGGCCTTCACCTGGATCAGAACCCTTTCAGCAAGCCGGAGTTTGAAACCGTCCAGGGCATGGTCCCGCTGCTTCCGGTCTCCGCAGAGACGGGCGGCTTGGAAGTCGTGCCCCGCAGCCATACGCCGGATGCCAAGGCTGAACTTTGCCGCGAGTTCCCTCACCTGCGCTTCTCCGGAGATTGGTGTCCTCTGAACCGATCCTTTGAAGACGCGATGCTGTTGCTTGCTGAGCCAGGAGATCTCATTCTCTGGGACTCTCGGACGATCCACGGTGGGCGTGTGGGCGACGGCTTGGTCAGTTCCTCCCCGGCTCCGTCTCAGAGCCTGGCCCGTCTGTCGGTCACCGTGGCAATGGTTCCCCGAGCACGAGCGACGCCGGAGGTTCTCCAGGCACGGCGAGAAGGTTTCTTGAAAGGCCGAATCTTCAATCACTCTCCGCATGAAGCGGGCACAAGCTCGGGGACGTTGGCGAGTAGATCAAAGAAGCGCCATTCGATGACCGAGCTCAACGAATCGCAGCTTGCCTTACTCTAGCAATGGGTGCAGTAGACGGAGGCGGATGCAGAATCGTCTATCCGTCTCACGTCACCCTGCTTTGGCGTTGCCATGTACAGTGCTTCAGGTGGCAAAATGTGAGACTAGACATGGATTCCGACGCTTTCATGTCTCTCTAGTCGATGTTCGCTTCCAGAGTTCAACATCCTTTGGCGGGGTATGGGTGAAGACTCACAGCTGCGAGTACGAGTAGGAGATGAATCGCAGCGCCTCGCTTTTCCTTACGGACTCTTGGGCCATTGCCGTTTGCCTCAAACACTGCTTGGAAGAGGTGAAAGGCCAGATACTGTACCCAAGATCGAGACGAGCATGTCAGCCCAGTTGCCCACGCAAAAACATGGTTTCACTGTGCTTGAATCTTTCCAGTATGTGGGGCTGAGTCAACACTTGTCATCCCCTATTGAACCTAGTGAGTATTGTGGCCGTTGATGCATCAAGCGCCGCGATCTCGTGGGCTGTTTCGTCACATCAAAGTGAGTCTGGCCAGGCTCGCCGCATGAGAAGACTGTCTCCGCGCCCAGGCCTCATGACTACAGCAAGTGGGACAGGCTGGCGCAAGCCTTGGATGACGACGAGGAGGCGGGAGACCGGCGCGAAAGAGCCTGCCCTGCTTCGCCGTGGCTTCGCAGGACCCGATGACCTGGCCGGTCTGCCAGGAGATACCGTGGAACACGGTCGGGCGCTTCTCTCAGCTCCTCTTTGCTGTGCTTGTGCTTTGAGGGAGCAGAGCCGGGGAGGCCTCTGGTGGACCGTGTCCTTGACGAGCACTTCGGGCCCGAAAGGCCTGAAGAGTCCGGGCCGATTCCTGGCGAGGCCGCCGAGGCCGTGGAGGCCGATGCCCGCTTCGCGGATCCAGGCGAGGAGCGACTGCCCTCATCGCCCGTCACTGAACGTCTCCCTTTGCCAGCTCGTGTTGACCTCACCCTGGTGAGCTCGATGAAGAACGTGGGAGATGAGGCAGGGACAGTGCCTGCAACTGTAAAACCGTTGCCGGTCAGCGGGGGTCCGCGGGTACAGCTGGGTCATTTTGCTCCCTCGGCCAATAGCGCCCAACGCTCTCGTAGTCCAAATGAATCCTGCCGCATCGCTTCCGAACTTTGCTCAAGCTCGTCGTTGACATTGTCTGCACGCAGCTAAAGAAGCGCACCAGCGGTTGAACAGATCAAGCTTCCGTTCAGCGATCCTGGTCCGGTCCGGAAGAGAGCGTCGCTATGTGACCAGCGTCATCTTGGGATGCCTTCGGATTCGGCGTCTGCCGAGCCAAGCCGAGGCTTTGAGGCCCTTGGTCTCCCCCCGCCTTCTGTCTGAGTGGTGTGAGCGCCTTCTTGAAGACAGGACCTCGTTTCGCTCTTCGCCGCTGCTTTGCCGGATGCCAACAAGGACATCTGGGTCATTCTGGGTCCTTGTGCTCATGCGAGCTCCTGTGCAGATTTGGTCGTTCAGGATCCCAATGGAGAGGTGCGCATGATGCTCGACACTTTGAGAGAGTTCCTCGGTGGCGTCCATCCCGACGACGCGGCGGCCAGTGTATTGACAGGTGCACTCAGGGCCTGCACGGGGTTCTGTTTTCCGGAGCTCTCAACGCTTAAAAGGATATAGGATTAATAGCAGCAGAGAAGGAAAACTTGCGGCTTGGCCTGACCCGCAGTTGATTGGCGAATTCCTGCGTAGCTGTCATGCCCCTTCCAAAACCCTGAATGCACAGATCAATTTCTCATATCTCCTAAGGTTAACAGCATGGGGATGTGCCTCATCGGTTGACGTCGTGCATTTTACACGTAAGTTATGGTTTCGACGTGCATGCATTGTATTGAGCGGTTTGTCCACCGACAAAGAAAATTCACTTTTTTTTCAGGAGGGGATATCGAACGCATAGAGCTCTGCAGCTCCGCAGTGCTTGGCTTTTGACATCCTTTGCAACGCCTCATGGGCATTGCTGTGACCTGTGGGTGCCATGGTTCATCTGGTTTCGGAGCGTCCGCGCGAGTCGGTAGTACCCATCCTGCTTCAGCACTGTGCTGGCCGGAGGAAGGGGAAGAACGGTCTTGCCAAGAGCTCCTTTTGGAGAATTGCATTCCCGCTCTATTACGTTTTGCTGAGTTTGACCTCGAACCTGCTCTTTCTGGTGGGTTCCTTCCTCTTCCTTCCGATCAAAGAAAGAGAGCTGACAGTGTCCTTCACATTCGTTGTGGAGGGAGTAGATGTCAACGAGGTCATGACGTCAAACATCTCGCTCTTTCAACAGCTGGAGCGGAACTTCACAGGATTACTCGCATCAGACAAGAGCAGTCGCATCAAGCCTCACCATTCAAACCTGCAGTGGAGGAAGACGACCTCCTGTAGCCTGGATAATGCAATGCTTTTCGATGTGAATATCTATCCCCGGGAAGGTTACAGCGCCAGCGCCCTGGAGCGCTCCTTACCCCCGGTTTCCTCCATCAAGGAGGCCTTGAATGGAAGCTTGACGGCCATAGGCATCGACCGGCTCGCCACGGATGAGATCGAGGTGAATGTCGTTAGCAGGCCACGGCTAGTAGAAAGCGCCATCGTGCAGAAGTGGGCTGTGGACTTGGGCTGCAACCTCTTCATCATCGGCAGCGCGCTCTTGGCCTTCATCTCCGGGATGGACATCTTCGAAGACGTGCTTCTCTGTGGCGCCCTGGTGCCATTGGTAGTGCTGGCCCAGCTAAGAAGTTGCTTCTGCAATGAGCAATGACAGTAGCACAAACACCCGTCATCACAACATCTGCGAACACACGGAGCGATCTTCATGATAAGCGCAGCAGCGATACTAATTTAAATACAGGACAGCAAGGATAGTGTTGGGAATGCCGAAGGTATGAGTTACTGGATGAGCAAGACCCGCAAGACTACTACGATGACGACGGCAACAACATCATTAGCAATCACGACGACTACTGCTCCTACTGAAACTCCTTCTCCTGCTCCCGCTGCTGCTGCTACTGCGGCTACGACTACTGCCACCGCTACTGCTGCTGCGGCTGCTGCTTTTGCTACACCTACGACTGCTACTACTGCTGGCAATAACACTAGCAGTAGCATGAATCTTGAGGGATTCAACAGCCTAGTAACGAAGCTTGCGGAGGATAAGGGGACTTGTCCTGAGTTGCGACGATGACCCAAACCGTCGGCTCCTGGATCTGTGCCAGGCCTTAAACTGCCGGGCACAGGGACAGCGTTGCGGACGGCGTCAGGCACGACCTACGAGTGGCTCGGGAGTGATGCGGAGGCGGCGGATTCTGACTTTCACGTCATGATCGGGCCAAGATCCGAGAAGCTGCTGTATTTATCCGGTGGCTTGGTCTTCTTGGTTGGGACGATCTACTTTCAGCACCCCCAGATGCTCACCCAACGGCTTCCGTCCGAAGTTGTTGCAGAGGAGGATGTTCTGTTTTTGGCAATCTGGATGTTCATTCTGGGTTCCATCATCTTTGTTTTTGCCACCTTCCTGAATGCTCTCACGCTGAATGCCTCCGGCCGCACCTTCATCCACTGGTCTGTGGCCACCTGCGGAATCTACGAGCTGGGCGGCATTCTCTTCGTGATGGGATCGGTCTGCTTCATGCCCAATCAGGGCTGCAAGGAGGGCATGGAGATCCTGGGAGCCTGGTGCTTCATCCTCGGAGCAGCGTGTTATGTGCTGGGTGACTTCATCGACTTCATGAAGACCAGCGCCCTGATCTTCCTGAGGCTTAGGCAGGAGGAGGCAGCACGCCGCATCGAGCGAGCGATGCTGGCCTTCCTCTTTCGCCGTCGGCTGGAGCAAGCCGGCAAGCTGTGTAGCAACCCATCGCAGTCCCCTCCCACGCTCTCAAGAGGCCTTTCTCGGGCTCGCAGTGGCAGCGTGACCCAGGCCGGACTGGTGACAACCTTCAGGCAAGCGATGCTTCAGAGAACAATCATACAGGCTTTGCAGTTGAGGGACGTGCCTGATTTCCGATGTGATGTCTGAGTGCACTTGGCTCACACTGAAGCTGGCAGCCGCGTGAGTGTCTGGCACACTTGAAGGCGCCAAAGTGTGCCTAGCCAGCTGGGTCACAGCCGAGCTTTCACCCTTGGGGCACCATGTCCCATTTGACCCCATGCACGGCACAGCTCGGGTTCGCTTAAAGAAGGAGCTTCCTGGGGGGATTGTCTGGGTCCTGGCGGCGGCACCCGCCGTCCCGGCCAGGGGTCTTGCAAAGCATAAGTTTTTGGCCTGTCTTATGGAAGTGTCTTTCAAAAGCTGCAGTGCCGAAGCTTCAGCCTCGGCAGGAGCCCGGCATGCGCTCCTTTCCTGTCGCAGCTCGGCCGCTTACCGAGGGCTGGTGGCGAAGTCAGCTGTTGCGTGCCAAGGGGGAGCTGGCCGGCCTTCCCTGAGCTCTTACGCCTGTAAGACTTCGCTGTCCATGGCCCCTTGGATGACTATCAGAGCCTGGAGAAGGATTGGGCAAGACTTGGTCATGCAGGTCAAGAAGCTTCTGGCCCTCCAGGGCTCGGCCTATTCAGCTGTGCTTACGCCCTACCACGACAACGGTCTGTTTGCCAATGTCCTCCAGGCGTCCGAGCAGCGGTGAAAGCTAAGCTGGCCGGGGAGATCAGCCGCATGCCTTTCAGTGGGCTCAGGTGTGCGATGCACTGCTGCTGGCGAAACCAGGCAGGTCTCGACTAGTTACAAGATGGGGGTTTCCGAAAATAGGGGACCCATATATAATTACCCTAAATAGTAGGATCCATATTATAAACTCCCAGATAGAGATGAGGCTTCAGGAGTTTCTGTCTGTGAGTCAGTTTTCTAACGTTGGAAGGAGTGCCTGTCCTGGTGGATTGGAAGCGGAAAGGCTCCGAAGGCGGCCCCCAGTTCCCCTTAAAGCCCGAATCCTCGGTCCTTCAGCTTCGGAAGGCCATTTCCAGTATGGCCCGGAGGGCTTTGATCTCTTTGGGCACCTCTTCGAAGCCGGTGAGCGCTGCCGCCATCTGTCCTCACAGAGGCCCTTTTTTGCGGGAGCTCTGGGAGACGGGCAGCCAAGTCCTAGGCTCTGCGATCGAAGTGCCATCCGAGAGCTTGAGCATGCCCAGGCCCCAGTTTCTGCTTCAGGGCCTTTCCTTGACTGGCTGCAACATACAAAAACTGAGGCCGGGGCGCATCAACTGCCTCTTCATGAACATGCTCCGGGGCTACTTCTGGTCCTTGCCCGACGACGCTCTGAAGGAGCTCCGCGTGCGATACGCAGCAGCCATTCGTGACTGGGCAGCCCTGGGCCTCCACATGCCTCCATGGACCATGGAGGTATGGAGCCTCTTGCTCTGTTACCGAGCAGCTCCCGGGAGGTGTTCTCCAACCAGCCCAGCATGTGCAGCGAAAGTTGCAGGAATGCACAAGTTGGGGCGAGGAGCCGCTTGTCTTGCTTTCTGGTTTGGAGCTACTGTTGGACGCTCGTCGATCCAGTTCCTCCTTCCGGTGTCAGCACCCATCAAGGGTGTTCATAGTCTCGTCAGGAGGCTCTCGTCGTGGGCGTGCACAAGAGGCTAGCTTGCTCGGAGATGGTTGCCTGCCAGCTGTCGCAGCGAGCTCCGTCTTGTGCAGAGTTTATCGCCAAAGCACGCAAGATACTGTCTGCGAGTGAAAAGCAGCGCAAGCTGATTTTCTTGGCTACGGATGATGTAAAGGCCGGGGTGATTTTGCAGTCATGACCGAAGCAACAGGCTGAGAGTGTGCTCATGAGTGAGTCCATGTAGAGACGATGCAGGCGGTGGAAGAATTCGAGGTCGCGTTCCCGCGAGACGGAGACGTTGAGCTGTGTTATCGTCGCGTGAAGCGGTCGCCGGGTGGAGTTCGCGAAGATGGCATCGACAATGAGGCACCGAGTGAAGCAGCAAAGCAAAGGTACAACAGGATCATAAGTTCGCAATGTGCAATCAAGAGCTTCGATGCAGGCTAGGCAGGGCAGTGAGCTCATGGCACCTGATATGATGTCAGGTGCACAGGAGCCCCTGTGCCGAAGCTGACGCAGAAGATGCGCTCATCGATGCACTTGCCCTGTCTAGATGTCAGCATCTCGTCTGCGTTGACTCAAACTTGGCCATCTACGTCGCTCTCTTGAATCCAGAGATGCAGCTCCATGCCCTCAGCAGCATCCTCCCAGAGGCAAGGTTTCCGGAGAAGTTCTGAGAGTCTGAACCAACCCGCAGAGAAGGCTTTAGGATTCTGTTGATTCCCTTCTTTGAGTCTGATTGCCTGTGGACTTTGAGCACCAGTCTCCGTAGCGTTGCCATAGCCCCGTCAGGGATGGGAGGAAGCTGCCGAGAGACCCGAGGAGGTGGTGCATGCCTCCTACGAGGTGGTCTTCGCACCCATGGTATTCGTTCGCAAGGTCGGGGTCTAGGGCGCCCGTTTTTTCACTTTTTGCGGGGTTGGAACGCGAAAGCGCTGCTTGTGAGGGCCCGAGCACGGCGACCGAGCTGCTGGGGGCTTCTAGGCTCAAAGCCGTGGCACCCTGACGCAGCCCGCAGAACAAGGCTGATGAGCTGCCCGCACCGATCCCACCGAGGCCCGCAAGCCTGGCGAGATTGTCTACTGCACCGGTCGCGGCTTTGACGGCTGGGTCGAGCTAGAGGGAGGCCGGCAATTCAGCAAAGCTCGCATCAGATTCGTTGAAGAACCTAATTCGCTTCAGGCGGTTGGATGCTGGTCGATGGGGCGCGCGGCGGCAAGCAGCCGCTTGGCTCGATCGAAGGCCTTGCGGTCGCGGCGGGAGCAACGATCCTTACGAGGAACGCTGCGGCTGGCATTCTGCTCAAGCCGGTGGGCGACATTTTGGCACCACAGACAAACCGCGGCGACTTGAAAAATGTAGACCAGCCGTGACCGCGGCTTTCATGTTGGTGTTCAATAGCACAAGATTGCTCGGAGACCCAAACTAACCTGCTCCTAGCAGGCCTTCGAGAAGCAGGACTTTGACAAGGCTTTGTCGGTCGTCGACTTGGTGACAGGAAGTTGGAAGAACGCTTGCGGGATCTTGCGGGGGATGTCTGGCATGCCCCACAGTTCCGCACTCAAGAGGCCTGGCAGTCAGCAGCAGAAGCCGCGCGCCAGATTGGTGCCGCATTGCTCAGATCCCCCTTTGGAACAACGTGGTGCAGCATTGGAAGGAGTTTTTGCGTGCTCTGTTTAAGGCTCATGACATCTGGCTTGCGCTGATGTGCGAGGCGGTGCCTTGCTGTAGCCTTTTAGGACTGCAGTAGCATGTCCAATGTGCATTCTTTCAGGTGTCCTCTCTCCAGCAGCAGTGCGGAAAGCTTCATCTGTCCGAGGCAAGTCTAATCCAATCAAAGGGGGCGATTTTTCGCGGTGTCTTCCTTGGGGCCGCGACTGAAAACTCAGCTTGTTGCAGCAGCATGCGGAAGCAGATCTCGCACGGCAGAGGTCCTTGAGCAACTTGCTAGTACTTGCAGGCCACAGCGACGGCGATGCTCGCTGAGGCCCAGTCAGCAGAGTAACGCCAGAGAGGACCGGGCTTCCCGACTTTTGTCCGGAAGGTGCCTCAGCGCCGCGCGGCGAAAGCGCTGCTGCGACGCGGCCTCGTGAGGGAGGCGCTGGGCGACCTGAACGGAGCCAGGCCCGGCCAGAGCGGTGCGGCCAAAGCGGAAGAGCCGTGAGCGAAGAGAGCAACCAAAACTGAGAGAAACACCGAAGTCTCTCACCGAAGTCTCCGGAGCAGAGGCGATTTGTGAACAGACCGCGCTTGCAAGGCAGGACCTTTCCCACGCGGTGGCCGAAAATTTCATGGACCTGCAGGCTCAGGACAGAATCAGAGGGAAGCATGCGCCGCATCTGAGACTCTATGTGTGATGTGCTGTGCCAAAGGACGCCCTTTCTCGCGTAGAGCAAAGACTCAGCGAGGAAAAACGGAGCGATGGACTGATTAGCGATGATAAGCGACGGCGTGCTCATCACGGCTGCTCCTTCTCCGGATCCTTTCTCGGCCGCCGCCATTCCAGGCTCCATGCGCAAGGAACACACAAGCGCACATGGCATTCGTCCTTAGAGTATCGCCTCCCAGCAGCCCCATGCCTATCACACGAACAGCGCAGAATGCATGGAAAATCACGGGGGCCATCGGTCCTTCATTTGAGAAGGGTCTCCTGCTCCCGGAATTGCCGGACTCGCCTTGTCCGTGATGGCGAGGCCAGCGGAAGCAGGGAGAGCCTCCGACCCGCGAGCCGAGAGCGCGCGTCCCGTTCGTCTCTCGAGGTCCGAGTCCAACTTGGACTTGGAAGACCTGGCGCCAGACACAGACTTCCGGGCTTGAGCACCATCCTGCGATATCCTGCGCATTTGGACTCCTTCCGGCGCGGATTTAAGGCGAGTCGCTACGACACTCAAGTCCTTCGCGAGTACTTGTTGGAGCAGGAGGTGCGAACTCAAGATCCTTGAGCCGGGCGCACTCCAGTCGTTTTTCACTGCCAGGAAGGCAGCACGAGACAGCGGCAGGCTGAGGCAAGGGCCAGAAGCTTCCTGAAGAGGTTTGAAGTCGGTTCATTGTTTGAAGGATGCGGAGCAAGCAACGCTGCCAGATGTCTGCGATCTTAGACAACGGTGCTTTCGAAGGTGCAAACTCTGGTTCACAAGCCGAGCCGTCGTTCAAAAAGCCTTGTGGCAATTCCAGGATACGCGTTCTGCTGGTGGTGTCCGGCTTACGATCCAAGCACATGATCTCTCCGCCGCTGGATCCGGCTGCAGGGCTCCCAACTTGCTGAGGTCAACTTCCTTGCATATTGGTCCACTCTGAGCTATTGTGGGTGCCATCTGAGAAGAGGTTTTGGTCTCGTTGCAGCCTGGCTTAAACGGCAAATGCCAGGTACGCTTACTACCTTCGAGTCGAAGAAGCCGGCACGAAGGCTGCGGCCTGACCCGGGCTTGGGTGAGTTTTCTGGAGTGCACGTTGCATCCTCTAAAAGGCACTTCCGCCCATGGATGTGGCACTGGCGTGCGTCCGGGCCCTGACAAACAAGGGTGTGACGACAACTCGATCTCATGTGCTGGAGCCCGCCTGTGTCGCAGAGGGGTGCGCTTGCTTGCCGAGGTCTTCCTTCTGGGCACGCAGGCCACCTTGGAATTGGCTGCCGCTGCCCTGGCGCAGCAGGAAGATACTCTTGCACTTGAGTCCGCGCTGACGCCCTGCTGTGAGGCTGCCGTTTGCCTTACTCAGCCAGTGCGCCAGGGCGATGGCAGGAGGTCGGATGTGAGTTCCTGCTAGAGCTGTGAGGGCACTAGGATCCACCCTCTCCTGGCTTGCAGTAATCCCTTCAGCAGCTGGGACTTTCTGGCGTGGCTTGCTGGTGCCGATGCCCCAGTGAACAACGTCAAAATGCATACGACGAGTCTACAACATGTGTACAGACTCTCCCCCTTCATCCCCCTTCTCTCTCGCTCTCTCTCTCGCCCGCTATCTTTCTATCTTTCACACAAGGATGCGTAGCACGGCAAGAAAAGGAGAGGAACATCGCACTCTCCGAGGCGGGAGCCAGGTGCTCCATGCTCTTAGACGCCCTGTGCCTGCCGCTGATGAAGCGCGGGCGCGACCCTCAGAGCGGTTCTCACATCTTTGGTGGTCCAGGACACCATGCAACGACCATAAGCTGTTACAAGCCGGATCATCTGGCGTCATCTTAGCAGCGGCTTCCGAAAATGCTGACAGACCATGTCGTCACGCTTGTCGGATGTGCTCCGCGTTTGTGGACGGGTGCCACCTTTCATGTAGCAATGCGTGGAAGTGTAACCAGGGTTTGAGGCACATTGTTTGCCTGCTGAAGCGGAGGGATGTCGCCAGTTGAGTTCCAGTCGTCTGGCAGGATGTAGATTCTCGACTCTGCGCCCCCCTTGAATATCCCCGAATCACTAGTATCTGAAGGTCAAGCTTGCTCTTCCTGCTGTCCGTGCTGCACTGAGCCAACCGGAGAACTTGTAGGCCTAGACACCGTGACGGACAACTACATTCCGTTCCGTCGTGTTGTGATGGTGTAGAGTTGCTTCGTGCTAGGGCCTCGGAGCTAGCGGATCTGCGTTTTGCCAGGATGTGCTGGTCCTGAGGCGAGCACGTTCGCTTTCGCAATCGGCGTGTTCGTTTTCGCTGTCGGGCTCCGAGAGGCTCTTCCCTGCCCCGCCGCAAAGCCACACAGTGCCACACGGCTCAGGTCCAGCTGCGGCTTCTTTTTGGAATGTTTTGCAGCCGGGACCATTGTGAACCCTGCTCGCTTGACCCGGAAATACCCGGAACCCCAACCCTCCGCAAGCCGCCACTCCGCCAGTCTCCTACGACAAGCCGGACCTCTTCTTCAAGGGGCGGGACAGCAGTGGGATGTCGCTGGGCAGCTTCTGGCTGTTTGGTGCGTTGGAGGGCAGCTAGCTTCACATCATCTCACATCCCGCATTCATTAGGCTGGGATTTAGGATGATTGAGGGTTCAGTTCCGGAGGCTCTTCACTCCACTCCCACGCCGAAACCCACGAGTCGCTTTGCGCGCGACCGCTCGAAGCGATGCATTCCTTAGTCTTCGACGTTGTGCGCGACGTGGTAGATCAGCACGGAGACAGGTGATGCGTGACATTACGCTTCACCAGTCGTTGGACACTACATGATAAATTTGTGCTGCGTGCTGATCCTTGCTCTCAGTAGCGGAGTTCAATGATTTGATTAGGGTGCAGCTGTTTCCTGACTGTCAGTGCAGAGGAACCACCAAAATCCGTTACCCTTGATGAGAACTGCGCAAAACTACACTGAGCTTGGTCTTGCGTTTTTGCCACTTGCGGAGAAGCAACAACTCGTTTGAAGTGTGTCCGATCAAGATCGGGCATACTTGCGTATATGCGCAGCCGTAAGCAAACGCGCGCACAAGTTTCGGGTCTTTACGACCCTCAATGTGGCATTGTTTGACATGATCTGATTCGACGAGGCTGTTGGTGTTATGAGCTGCACGTTGGCCAGTCCAATGATTTGATTGGGGTGCATCTGTTTCCTGACTGTCAGTGCAGAGGAACCACCAAAATCCGTTACCCGTGATGAGAACTGTGCAAAACTTGGTGTTGCGCCTTTGCCACTTGTGGAGAAGCAGCTACTCGTTTGAAGTTTGTCCGGTCAAAGGCCGGCGTACTTGTGTATATGCGCAGCCGCAAGCAAAGGCGCGCACAAGTTCCGGGTCTTTACGATCCTCAGTGTGGCATTGTCTGAGTCGACGGGGTTGTTGGTGATATTTGCTACCGTCATGAGCTGTAGACGTTGCTTTGGAGCGTTGGCCAGTCCAATGATTTGATCAGGGTGCAGCTGTTTTCTGACTGTCAGTGCAGAGGAACCACCGAAATCCGTTACCCGTGATGAGAACTGTGCAAAACTACACTGAGCTTGGTGTTGCGTTTTTGCCACTTGTGGAGGAGCAGCTACTCATTTGAAGTGTGTCCGATCAAGAACGGGCATACTTGCGTAGATGCGCAGCCGCAAGCAAACGCGCGCACAAGTTCCGGTCTTTACGATCCTCAATGTGGCATTGTTTGGCATGGTCTGATTCGACGAGGCTGTTGGTGTTATGAGCTGCACGTTGGCCAGTCCAATGATTTGATTGGGGTGCATCGGTTTCCTGACTGTCAGTGCAGAGGAACCACCAAAATCCGTTACCCGTGATGAGAACTGCGCAAAACTACACTGAGCTTGGTGTTGCGCCTTTGCCACTTGTGGAGAAGCAGCTACTCGTTTGAAGTGTGTCCGGTCAAGAGCCGGCGTTAGATGCGCAGCCGTAAGCAAAATGCGCGCACAAGTTTCGAGTCTTTACGATCCTCAATGTGGCATTGTTTGGCATGGTCTGATTCGACGAGGCTGTTGGTGTTATGAGCTGCACGTTGGCCAGTCCAATGATTTGATTGGGGTGCATCTGTTTCCTGACTGTCAGTGCAGAGGAACCACCAAAATCCGTTACCCGTGATGAGAACTGCGCAAAACTGCACTGAGCTTGGTGCTGCACGTTTCTTGCTTGTGGTATGAGCTGCAGACGTGGCTTTGCCGCTCTGGTCAGTCCAATGATTTTGAGTAGGATTCAGCTTGTGGCCTGACTGTCAGTGCAATGAATCACCAACGCCCACTTACAGCTTCGTGCCGTGGCTCCCTGTAGACGGTCCCTGCCAGGATGCATGCTGGACTCGCCGACCGACAGCTTAAGTACCAGATGTTTCATGACACTGACAGCTTCCATGACCGAAAAGATTTCCTGGGCCCTTCCTGGATTCCTCCTGCGATCCTATGTAGTCGAATCTAGGCAATCTAGGCTCTTGAACTCGCCATGCCCCCTGTTTCGAGGATGGAAGGGACGCCCATTGCAGCCAGACCTCCGGCTCACCGCGAGGAGGAGGATGCGGGTTTTTAGGAGAGCGGGCTGGGCTTACAGTGGAGCCTTAATCGTGCGCTTAGAGTATACTATAGTATACTATAGTATGCTATAGATAGTATAGTATAGTATAGTATAGTATAGTATAGTATAGTATAGTATAGTATAGTATAGTATAGTACAGTACAGTATAGTATAGATAGTATAGTATAGTATATGCTACTGTGTCAACTGAGTCCTCATTGAAGGACACCTCAGACCTCCGGCTTGGCCGAGCCATGCCGGCCCAGGGCTCAGAGGAAGTCTTTCTTTAGCGACGGCTTGTAGGGCTCAGGGTTTAGGGCCCTTCCAGGTTTAGGGCTTAGGGCTTATAGGGCTTAGGGTTTATAGGGTTAATAGGGTCCTTTCAGAAACGGGGGGGATTGAGGTGAACACCATCAAGGCCGCGAACTTCGCGCATTTCAATGATCTGGCATTGCTTCACTTGGCCTCTTGGCCTCAGAAGCCGACATAGTTGGCCCCCGGCCTCCCTCCTTCTTTCGGAAAGCTCAGCCATGAGGTGCTAAGAAGGCACTACTTGCCGATCAGCTGCCAGGAAACACAGGCCTCTACACCATGGGCCTGGGCTTTTTGTGTATTTTGGTGAAATCTCCGCCAGGAGTTCACGATGTCAATTACATCCTTCTCACGCTGTTTTTGCGAAGATGTGGCTCCCTGCTCGGAGTGTTTCGTAGACGTCATGACACCCCCCTTTAGATCGAGCTTCTAAATACGCCCAGGTGCAATGTAGCCTGAAGTTCTTCTTCATCATGGACTGCCAGGCCTGGGTTCAGGATGTCTCATAAGATCAAGGCCATGATCATGAAAAATGAAGACTAAGACGCATCTTTTGTTGTGAGGACATAGCTTGTGGCAGCCGGTCCATATGGAGACGTCTGTCTGGGTCTGCGACCTGGTCGCCTCAGGTGAACTTGCTCGTGCTCTTCTCGCTGCTGGTGTCGATAGGGCAGGTGGGCTGGGGATGCTTACGAGGAGCTCGAATCGAACCGCAGAAAGCAACATGCAACCAATCTGCCGGGCAGACGGTTTGTTCGGCCTTTCTTCGGAAGCTGAGTCATCACTTCCCTTTTTTTGGGAACAAGCTCCGTGTGGCTACGAAGAGTGCAACACATGCAGGCCGTTGGCTCCTGCTTCTATGCCAGCACCTCTGCAATGGACCTGAGGAGAGCGGCTACGCTGCTACAGGCGAGAGCCGAGAGTCCCCATCTGTGTCCCTGCAGGACATCGGAGGAGGCGAACCCGAATGATTGAGACGGGCCGTTTGCACGCGTCCTTGTCAGGGCGAGCATCTTTGAAGCTCACCGAACCCACGTTTTTTCTTGAGTTTCACCTGGCTTAGGTCAGGTTCAGCTGCTTGCAGAGTCGACGACCTTGGGAGCTGTGGTAGTTGCAAGGATGCAGCAGCTGGCAGTAGGCCCGGCCAGAAGCCGAGTCTCCAGAAGGCTTTGTTCGGCAATGTTCGGCATCTGCCAAACTCGATAGCAGACCTCTCCGTTCCGATTGATTGAAAACAACAGAACGCATTATCGCATTGCGAGGCGATGGCGGGAGTCTTTGAGTAGTGCACATACAGAGTTGGCTCAAGCTTGCAGAGCTTGCGTTTATTGCTTGGCCTGGTAGCCGAGAAAGCAGCACCCAGTGCTGCATCGTTTAACAGCTCACCATCGAGGTTCTACCATGTAACTGCAGTATGTGACGCAGTGTTCAGCAAGCATCCGTGAGCAGTGAAGGCATGCTTTCCGAAAGTTTCCATGGCAGCCGGCACCAGCGATGGCCTGGGTGACCAGCCTGTCAGGGCCCTGGCAGCACCGGCAGTCCTGGCAGCTTCCCTGCCTGCATAAGAAGTGTTGAAAGAAGTGCAAGGACTTGCCGCCATTTGCGGCGGTTTCCATCTGCATGCAGCATCCAGCTCAGGCGAGCCGTGGCAGTGTCTGCGGGCATGACAGTTGATCTAGAACAATACATGGGCATGGACTCCAAGAAAGCCTATCCCTCGCAGAGGGTGAAGAGTCTGCCTGGAGACGTGCTTTGCTTGAGGCATTGTGCCTTTGAGCAGAGTCCGCTGGAGCAAAGCCCTCAAAGCGCGCGATCTCGGCTGGCCCAAGCTCGCCTGAGGCTGGGTCCCTGAGTTATCATGGCTTATCATGGCTTCAACGGTTCATCCTTTCTTGAAGCTCTTAGTCGTCGGAAACAAAGAAGTACGTATGTGCAAGCGAGTAGCCACGTACATACCGTATCTGACATGACGTCAGAGGTGGTACTAGTTATGTAATTACCCTACTCCCTAAACCCCAAACCCTAAACCCTAACCCCTGTGGCAAGTTGAGGTGACGGATCGAACTGAGGCGAAACGGTGAGTGATGGACACATACAGACTGAAGGGTGTTTTGTTTTGTTGAAGAGTGCACGCTCGAACTGAGCGAGCCTTGGACCTCGTGCGGGAGAAAGGGCTACTGCATTAAAAAAATAACCCTAAACCCCTAAACCCTAAACCCCTAAACCCCTAAACCCTAAACCCTAAACCCTCTGGCTGGTAGATGTCTGAGAGATGCTGGGGCCTGGGATCTGCCAGGCTCGTTCTGCGGCACAGCGCAGTGCTCGGGCCGATGAGCACCTCCATCGGCTCCTTGGTCGTTCCCTTGTTGGAGGGGTGGTTCAGGGTTTAGGGTTTAGGGTTTAGGGTTTAGGGGTTTAGGGTTCAGGGTTTGGGGTTTATTTAGGGGTTTGGGGGTTTAGGGGGGCCCAAGAGGTGCCTGGGTGTAGGGTTTAGGGGTTTAGGGTTTGGGGGTTTAGGGGGTTTAGGGTTTAGGGTGGACTGGAGGGTAGTTGTGGCAGTTGGGGTTTCTCTTTGATGTTTGGGTTGGCAGTTTTTCCTTTGTCCAGGCCATGCCGGATACATCATGGGAATGCTCGAGTTTGTGGCTCAGCGCTTGTATCTAAAGCTCATGCTATAGACAGATGATGTAGTGTGCTCCTAGGTACGGGGTCACCGATATCTGGTGGCTGCGGGTTTGGGCCATCTCCGGTTGTGGCATGGTCGTTCTCTTCCAGCTGTCCTGGGCTCGGCCCGACCGGGTAAAACGCGCATCATCATCTTCTTCTTTGATGGTGCTTTCTGGGCTTCAAAGGCTGCAGCCGCAGTGCCAGTGGCTTTCGGCCGCCTCCTCGGGAACTCGCCCTGATTTCTCTGCAACTAATCAGCGAATGCAGAGGCTGGTTGGTGCTTTGTCTACGTGATGGTCAACATATTCCAGATGATGGGGGAAGGCGAGCAGCCGGCCGTGCTCCCGATAGGAGATGTGCTTGCCGGCTCTCGCAGATCTCACCGGTTGCACATGCCGAGGACCCACCCTTGACAGAAGATGAGCGGACGTCGCCTCAGGAAGCCATGCGCATGAGTTTCCGCCGCGCCAGACTGCCAGACCCCGCCGCTTGCCGCTCAGGAAGCTTTATGATTTGCTTCAGAGTCGAATCAGCGTTCGTGAGCACGGGGCCTGGATCAAGATACGGCTTCGCTCAAATTTCCGCCCTGAGTCAGGTTTGCTGATCTGGCCTACTACGGAGACTGGACAGTGTTCTGTGCCGGTGACCTGCCCGGGGCTCTGCGCTGCCTCCGTGCGTTGAGACAGCTTGCCGTTGCCTACGCGAGGCTTTGCGAGCGGGTCTGCGAAGCCCCGCAGGGATTTGCGGACAACAAGGCGGCACAGACGTCTGAGCTCTTCAGACTCAGCCTGTTTGATGTGAACAGGAGAAGTGCTTGTACCTCATCGCGGAAGGACGCTGTGAGGCCGAGGGCCTTTTTTGACAAAGAGTGTTCGTGGCTGTTTGCTTGTAACATGCTGAATGTGCCTTTGAGCATTAACGGATGCGGAAACACCTCAGCTGCCATGGAGGTCTCCGCAGCAGGCCGCCGCATCACACTGCTGAAGCCGGGAAGTGTGGTCGGGGAAGCACTGTACTTAGAATTCGTGCGATGAAGCTGCAGCATGTGTTTATTATGATGCCATCCCACGAAAATTCGAAAGGTCGTCCACCTGCTACATGCGCTGAAGCCCACGGACTCGCAGTTGAGCGACAGCTGCGATTTGCCCACGCAGGCTGGCGCAGCTGCTGCAGTGGCAAACCGCACAAAATACTAGTTCTCTAAAATAGGGTCCCTGGTAGTGTCCTTCTTATAAGGGTGCTGTACTATATTGGGGATCCAAAAGGGAACCTAATTTGGAGAACTACCCACATGTGCACTGCCAGGTGTCTGCACATGAGAAAGTTCGTTGCCTGGCCTTGCCCGTTGCAGAGGCAGGTCCTTAACAGGTGAAAGCTTTGCATTTGGAATCTGGCCTTTACCCTGAACCGATGAAAGTCGCTGCTGAGGTGCAGACATTGTGGCGGCGGCGGCCAGACCTGCACAAGCCCATCATCAAGCTTCTCTCCTCGAGTCTCCTTGCAAAGGAGTGCTCTTGCCGATGCGAGTGCGCTTAACGGTGTGAGACCAATCGCCAGGAGGGCTGCGTCCTGGGCGAGGCTGCTTTGTATCCTGTGGGGGTCAGCACTGTTGCGAGATGTCGCGAGCCATCGGCAGGCTTTGGAAGATCGCAGGTACAAGGCGGGCGGGGCGATGACAGAAAAGATGCTGCAAAGACCAACTTGGCACGTTTGGAGGCGGTGCTCGAGGTCGCCTGTCCCATGGCCTGAGCCTTGCAGACTTTCTGGGGCTCCGGAGTTTGTCCATGTTCTGCCGGGAGGTTGATCAGCCTGGGGTGGCAGAAGGAGTGGCCGCGTATCGGCGCCAGAGTCTCGGAGAGTGAGTTGCGCCTGTTGCCGGTCGGGTGCCCATGTCCCAGGCCGAAACAGCATCTCCTCCGACGCTCACAAGCGATTGCTCGCCGACGTTCCGCAGTGTCTTTGCCTCATCTCAACAGTGAAAGCCATGCAGTGTCAAAGTTGGTGCCATCGCCGCGATCAGGTCCACCCGGTGCCTTTCTCGAGCACACGAAGCCTAGTAAAGAAGGCAAGGCAGCACACATGTTTCAGAACTGCAGCTTGTCAATCTGCCGGGTCAAGGCCGATTGGTTTATCGAGGACTTCATCAGTGGTTCCAGCGCGGAGAAAATCGTGCAAACGCTTGTCCTACTGCACCTCTCCCAAGTGACCCAAGTGCATGTGCCTGCCAGACAGCTGGGCAGCCCTCTGTTACATTGCCGTTCCGTCTGGTTCCAGATCCGGCCCTTCGACGCCGCACCAATCCACCGAGAGCATACTCATTAGACATGTACGTCTCACCTTTGCACGGGGCAGAGGTCACTGGAGCAACCCAGCTTGAGTGAGACTACTTGATCGCAGTATTTCGATACAACCGCATCGGATATGTGGGCATGTGAGTCCTTGTCCCTGATGACATGAAAAAGCAGGAGGAGAAGGAGACAAAAACACGCAGAGAGCTGAGTGGGGTCTCACCGAAGCAAGCCGCGCATGTATCCCGAAATCGACCCTGAGGTGCTCCATTTTGCCACAGAGTAGCCTTCAGCTGAATTTCGGAACGGACACAATTGTCACTTTATTGAAATCTACCCCCTCATGGGAACTTTACATGTGGGTGTTTATTCTCAAGGCCCCTCTGGGTTGGGGTCCTTGTCTAGTCTTTCCTCCTGCGGGGCAGCGGTCACTTCCAAACATTTCCGTGCGCTCAAGCCCTTCTAATTTCGAAGGGTGACGCTGGACGAAGGCCGTCCTTTCCGTTGACGGGGCTGGGGAAAGCTGTGGGCGTCGAGCGTTCATGGGGTGGCGCTGCAATGAACTGGGCTGGGGGCCGATGCTGGAACTGCCTCTCGTTCAGACAGTTCGGAACCACTGCGAGTCAGATGCTAGAAAGTGATGGTAGAAAGATGATGCCACTATAGACTATAGTTCGCTTTCCAGCTCTGTCTGAGATTGCGCCGCTCACGTTCCGAGCCAGAAGGCTAGTGTACTTGCTTGCGTGGTTCAGTCTCTTTGGGGACATGCTGGATTGTGAATGTCGGTCGGGAACGCAAAAGCTTATAAGACATACTCGAAACATAAAGCATCAGGAGCATCGCAGACCGAATCCCTATAATTCCTGAACGCACATTATGCAGGCTTCTCTTCTCCGTACTGCCTAAACCATGGGTTGTTTTTGGGTACCCGGCGTGACCTTGTGTTGAGCCCTCTGAGTTACGAAATCGACAACCGGGGCTCTGAATTGCTACTTGAACAAGGGCTTGCTCAGACATGTCATTCATTCGAAATGACACTGACACTTTAAGCCTGCGATGCCACTGGGTTGGATCGTCGAAGAGGTCGGTTTCGCCTTCTAGGCTTCAAGCGACAGTCCAGAATGCCCAGAGTTAATATCTTGTCTTGTTGCTGAGGCTTCTTCACAGGCTGGAAGCGAAAGCGCGACAGCGTGCAGGCTGCAGCTGTTTGGATAGGTTTATAGTGCCCATTGCAGTAACAGAACAACTCCTACAGTACCCCTTCCGCTGGCCTTTATAGTCGTGGCTAGTCGGCAGCTCCGCATCTGTCGCGGTGAAAGCGGCCTCACCAGGGCAAAGATGAGGAGGATGTCACGTCAAATCTGCTGGTGGTCGGTCCCTAAGCTTCGTCTTCTCTATTGTGATGCATCAGCCACCAAAACTCGCCCGGCCTTTACTGGATCCGTTTGCAGAGGACGGCGAGTTCCGCAACAAGCTTCCTCTTCCACCTGTGCCGAAGCTGCTCAAGGCTTTGCCCAGCATGAACGAGTGCCGCCCTTGGTGACTTCAATTTTCTTGAGCTCTACGAGATCTAGCTTCGGCTCCTCAGGCTCTGCGACTATCGTTTGGATGATTTGGAAAGTAAGCTGAGGCTGTGAGAGTGAGAGGAGAGATCCGAATTCCGCTCCCAGTCTGCTTGTCTGCCTGAGTCTGCTTCTTCGCAGGCCCTACCTGCTTTCGACTCATACGCTGCTGTGCTCGCCTCATCGCGCCGCCTCGCGCAGATGCTCGCGCTTTTTTCGTCGTGTAGCACTTGCGACAAAGGTCGCGAATCCACATGGATGATGACGATGCCTACGGAAAGGCCCGGGCAGTCAGTCGGGCAGTGGCGCTTCTTCCCGGTGGTTCGCGGTTCGGATTCTCAAATCGCGTCAGGAAGCCGAAAAAGGCAGGGAGCTCAGAGACGCTGGGGACAAAATTCCCAGTTTCTCTCGGAGTTGTTGTTTGCCAAGGCTCCATGGCACCCCCGGCACCACCCATGGATGCGCTGCTCTTCAGGGATGACGACGCCCTGCCCGCGAAATTGATGGGGTCTGCTGCTCAGCTCTCTGAAAACGGCCTTGTGCAACAGGTGCCGGAGGAAGTCGAGAGAGCACAGAAGTCGGGAGCCGAAACTATTGTTGGCCGTAATGCGTGAAGCTGCCACTACATGGGTAGTTCTTTAAATTAGGGTCCCACTTTAGGGTCATTTAGGGTCCTTTTTATAAGGGTGCCGTACTTTATTGGGGACCCAAAGAGGGGCCCTAATTTAGAAAACTACCCACATGAGACAGTAGAGCAACACAGAGCAACCGAGGCTCGCACGGCTGACAGAGCCAACGGATGCCTACCACCGTCAGGCCACGTCCAAGGTTTTCCGTGCAGAAGGCGTGCAGTGAAGCCGGTGTAGCCTGGATGAGGCCTTCGGCTTGCAGCTTCCTCAGCTCATCACCAACGAGACTTGGCTGGCAACTTCGCAGTCCAAGAGAGCTTGGCCCGATGAAGTCTGAAAGCTGAGCGAAGGACGTGTTCACGGAGCGGCAGCGTTTCACAACAGGCACTTGCTCGTGGCTCTTGGGACTGCTGAGCTCGTCGTGATGCGACCCAAAAGCAGCCGCAAAGACAGGTCGGGATGCTGCTGAGAAGAAGATTTTCCGCGATCCTCCCGGTTTCAACAGCAAGGAGGCAGATGGCCTTCCACTGAGAGAGACTCGCTTGAGGACAACGGAGCTTTCAAAATCCGGACAGGAGCTGGCCCAAAAGATCGGGAAGACCTTCCAGGCTGCGAAGGAGGCCAAACTCTCGCAGATGTCGACCCTTTGCGGACTGCTAGTGCCAACGCTACCAGGATTATTCCTCCGACTATTACTGCTACCAACACCACTATGGCTAATGCTAGTACTCGTACTAGTGCCGCCAATAGTACGAGCACGAGCAGTAGTAGTCGTCGTCGGAGGAGCAGTGGCAGTGGTAGTAGTAGTGGTAGTAGTGGTGGTAGTGGTAGTTATGGAAGTGCTGGTGGCAGCAGCACCACTACTACCACTACTACCACTACTACTACTACTGCTACTACTACCACCACCACCACCACCACTACTACCATCACTACCACCGTTGTCACTGCCACTACCACTACCACTACCACCGCT